TTATTAATAGAAGGGACAAAATTGGCATACAATCTTAGTTAATTGTAATGGCATACAACGAAGTGAATAAATTTAAATTATGATAAATTTCAGTTGAACGTGACGGTGATTTATTAATGATTCAATTTACATAATATTAACATTTACAGTGATGGGAATTGGGAAATTAAAAAGGCTTTTTATTAAAATGTGATATCCCATTTGTAATGGATTGATACAAGAGTTGAGTAATGCACCGTATAATAGGTGGTGCAGTGATTTGACTCAGGCAGACTTGAGTCAGTTGACAGAGGAACTTCAACCTTTTTGTTTCTCAAGACTATGAACTTATAAGATAGTCATCATGTTATATTTATAGGCCGATGTTAGACACTCCAAGAGGACCCTACATTATTTAAAGATAACACAAATATACTGTAGGAATTGTAAACAAATAAGTAGAAATACATTTAAATGAATCAAGTGCACAAATAATAATATTAATGTTGTTGAAAATTTAATTTTACAATCGAAATAAAACATTAAATTATACACATGTAAATTAAAAAAACAAGGTTAAGTTAAAGTACATTTATTATTTCCTTATTAATTCATATTTCCTTCTAAATAACCTAAAATAAACATGCAATAAAGAATTATATAATACTAATTATTTAATATACGTTATTAATAATGTTGTAAATTAAATTTGAGTATCTATATGCACCCGTTGTACATTATTTTTGGTTATGTTCAAGAAGTAAGGACCACTGATACGAGCTGGGGCAAAGACAACAATCTGAACAATTATGCAACTAAATTAATTCAACATTTATTTAATTTTTGATATAAACATATAAAAGAAATATTACCTGTTTCAAAACTAATACACAACTAACAATTATGTCTTCCCCATATTGCGGGTGTTGTTTTGCCTCGTAATGTAAGCTTGCACCAATAGTTACAGTTGGGTCCTAAAATGAATATACTAAATTATTTAAATACATTGTTGTTTATCATGTATCAAAAAATCACTAATCATACCTTCAATTAATAGTATAATTTCCGTTCTGAGTTGGTGTCATAGAGTCCACAAAACCAACAAAGTTGCAACTCTTTGTAAATTATGGTCTATATTGATCAATGGTGTGACTTCTAGAAGGCCTTTTGTTAATAAAAACATAGAATGCATTATATTCATTGCGTGAAAAAATTTGATGAAGAACAACTTATTATAGAAAAATAGCCTCTGGATTTGACGTAATCAAGTGCATAACGCCACGGGTTAGTGTTGAATACCATGTTGACACCTCGAGCAATATTAGGAAAAAAAAACTTTTGTGTTGGTAAAGGACTATCAGACTGCCTATTCTTAATCGCAGCTTGGACCAAACCAGCTGGTCCAGGAATAACAGGGCGAATGTTACATGACCTAAATGTGTCGTGATCATTGTCGTCTCCAACTTTCGTCAACTGCCGTAATCCTTCTCCATTGAGCCATTAATTGCTCATGTGCCAATTCTTCCTCCGAGCAAACAATCAGTTCCTCCTCCTCGTCACTATCTAGCATAGAATCGACTCCTCTACAATACATTTCTAATATAATATTGTTTGTGGTGGAATTTGTTTGTGAGTTCTTTTTATTTGAACTAGCACGAAATCGTTTCAATTTAGGTATTTTACAGTAAAGTGGTTCAACTTACTTAGGAATGGGAATAGATGAGACAGAACTGATTAATAAATGTTTGTTTCCAGATTTTCATGAATGATGATCAATAATTTGCATGCATGTAGATACTTACGTGAACAGAATGGACAATAAATACATTAGCAATACAAATCATTGTCTAATTCGCATAATGATCAAGTTACAAGATTAAAATCAAACAATCTACAAACTACAGAATTAAAAGAAGAAATTACACTAATCCTAGAAAAAGAAAGAAAATATGGTCAAGAATTTGCCATACCCAGCAAGTCCATGCAAGAAAGCCATATGCGCAGGCGGTGAGTGCTTGAAGAGTGCAAGTATGATTTTTCTGACCTCAGTGAAGGGGTATGTTTCTCATATTTATAGAATTATTCGAGAGCGGTTAATTCTATGCAAGTACATCATGGGTGCCCAACCGCTGTCCACTACATCAATTACGTGTAATCTCTCACAACCGTTCATCCCACGTTCTTCATTTCTTCGACTAAGTAACTACCTTAGTGTAACTACTCAACTGCTTAAAAACCTCTAGTAACTCCTTCTTGCATTTTTCGATCAATCCTCGAATAGGCTTGCTTATGGTTTCTGATATTCTTTTTGGTAGATACCTCTCCAATCATTCTCCTTTTCGAGTGATTTCAAAAAGTACCTTTTTTGAGTGACCCTAACAAATGCCCCCCTAGGAATTTAGTCTTTGAAGCACATGTTAAGGCGATGAAAGATTGAATTCCTATGACTTTCATTCTTTCGACCAACATTGACTAACTTTCGAGTCATTTATCTTTGCTAGAACCCTAGTCAGACAAACTCTAAGGTCTGTCGCGTTATTTTAGGCTAGAGTAACCGGTTATCACCTTGAGTGTGATTTTCGACAAGGCTTATAGGCTCTAAGGCCGTTCTTGGGCCGGTCGTACATCAACCACTCCCTATGTTTACACTCTCATACCCCTGGGTATAGAGGGAACTGTTGTGTGCAAGGATTTGTGTACAATTCTTATTTCAAACAGATGCGAAATTTAAACAAACAAAAGATATCAAAGCTACTCTAAAATAGATAAGCATATATTTACAAAAAGGCTAAAAGATAAAGAAAAAGATAACAGGATAAAGGTAAAGATAAAAGAAAAAAAATAAAATATAAATATAAAATATAAGGATAAAAGATAAAGATAAGTATTTACAAGCAAGATGAAAGGGGAAAATATATTTAAACTACTATTCTTATTAAGCTAACTTCATCATTTATTTGGGCTTGACCCTTTTTAAGCGTCCCCAGTGGAGTCGCCATCTGTTGTAATCCGAAAAATTTTGATCTTACAACTAATGGTTTGCACTACCTTTTGAAAAATCTCATCAATTAGGGAATGCCCGGAAACCAGACTAATCCTTAATTATTGGTTTTGAAAAATGAGTTCATGGAGTCGCCACCAATGTTTTACTCAAAACATTGGAAAAAGAATTTGAAATTAAAATAAAAGGTCTTCATAGCCAAAATTGGGTTCAATCACATTCAAATCCATGGTCTGAGGTCCCTGTCAGAGAAAGTGATTTGTATAGGAATGTTCTAATTTTCCTCACTATTTCTTAAAGGCTCCCAAGATACCCCCCATTATAGGGACCCAATACCTCTGTTGTGGTCACCTGGAAAACTCTAAGGTCTGTCGCGTTATTTTAGGCTAGAGTAACCGGTTATCACCTTGAGTGTGATTTTCGACAAGGCTTATAGGCTCTAAGGCCGTTCTTGGGCCGGTCGTACATCAACCACTCCCTATGTTTACACTCTCATACCCCTGGGTATAGAGGGAACTGTTGTGTGCAAGGATTTGTGTACAATTCTTGAGTGTAGAAGCTATTCCATCCTCTCTACGAGAGTTACATACACACTCTAAACACATTCTTGTAAAACTAAGGTTGAAAACCTTAGTGAGTGTAGAAACCAGTTTACCCTCTCTGTGAGAGTCACGTACACATTAAAAACATCTATTGTTTGTAAAGCCTGAAGAGGCTAACAAAAGAATACTTGTAGAACCAGAAGTGGTTTAAGAATACTAGTGTCAACAAGTGAAGTTGACGAACCAAGAGTGGTTGAGAATGCTTGGGTAACCAGAAGTGGTTTAAGAATACTAGCGTCAGCAAGTGAAGTTGAAAAACCAGGAGTGGTTGAGAATACTTGGGTAACTAGAAGTGGTTTAAGAATATTAGTGTCTGCGAGTGAAGCTAATGAACCATAAGTGGTTAAGAATACTTGTAATCCGTTGTGATTAGTGGAACCCTTCAGTTGAAGGAGACTAGACGTAGCTCAGAATGAGTGAACCAGTATAAAATCTTTGTGCATTGTTATTTGATTTAGAAACGTTGTTTTTTCTCTCATTGACTTATCACTCTGAAAAACTTCGTCTACTACTATTTATTTATATTTAGACGAACTTATATTTGTTTGACTGAGGAAACAATTTTTGAACAGACGATAGATCTTCAGATGCAAAGTTCCTTTTAACAAATCCTGCACTTTCCTTATGTAGTTGAAAAATTATTTTTTGACGAAAAGTAGCACCTTTGCGAAAACATTTTTAAAATCCTTCGTACACACACATTCAATCCCTCCTTCTGTGTGTTTTTCACTATACTTCAAAGAAGTCATTATCGTTAGACTCCACTCTCAAACATCCCTTCCCCACCCACACTCTCACACAAGACAAGCAAATTGAGATAATTAAAACTAGTGAAGAGGAGAAAAATACCTGAGAGCAAAGAAAATCGCAACAAAGCTACCACAAAATCATGATCAACCAAGAACGTGCAATTAACTCGTAACCCACAATAATCTGAAAGAAAAAATGAATAGTCCATCAAGGCTACCCTTAAACGACAATAGTGTAACCACTTGTCTCTCTCTCCTAATCAGCAAAACACATTTGAATTTGCAAAACAATAAGTGTCCTAGATATAACCTTGGAAATAGTAATCATTACTTATAACGCATACGAGAAAATTGTCGATGTATGAGGGAAAACTATCAACAACGTACATCACATGCCAAACTGTCCAACCACCTACCCCACCAAATCATTGAACTATCCGAGTAATAACTACTTCACTGTTGCAAAGCTCAAAATTGACAGATTTATGTACGACATTTTCTTTGGTGCAAGTTTTGTTTAGGGGTACCAAAACTCTACGTGACTAGGACCACGTAAACGATGAGATGTATTAATTTTGTCAGAACTTTTATTTTTTAAATTTTTTTTAATATTTGCTATTTAACCCTCCAACAACAATAGCAAGTCCCTCACACCCTAATGAAACACAACTCAATCTAAATATGTAGCTCTCTCTGGGTCAAGACCTTCTCCTCCCTCAAAACCACCTCCTTCCCCAACCTCATCGGCTTCCTCTCAAACTTCAACCTCTGGCTCTTCGCCTACCAACGCTCCTGCGCCCACGCCACCGGCACCTTCCCTCCGCGCAACGCCGTCCACGCCCCCCTCCTTCGCGACCTCCTCTCCCTCAGCAATGCCGTCCTCCGCGCCCATTTCATATGGAACGACAAAACAAACCCTCTCCTCCGCGCCCCCAACGACACCGCCGTTTCCAAGCCCCTCTCCAAACGCAAACTCCAAAACATTCTCCAATCCAATGAGCCCTTCTTCCAAGATCGACGGCGAGCTCCGTTACGTCGGCAACCACACCAAAGTCCTCACTGTCCATCGTTCCGTTACCTTTTCTGGTTCGTTGCTTTCTCCCTAGCCTCCTTTTTCACTCTCGCGTTTTAATCTTCCTCTGTTTCGTTCGTTAACCGATTCGGTGTTGTGTTTGCAGAATTGATAATGAAGCTCGGCAAGTTTTGTGGTTCGTGTGTGATCTTGAGGTGTCAATTACCCGAGGGAGACTTGGAGACCTTGATCTCCATCACCAACGACGAAGATCTCGCCATCGTCATCGAAGAATACGATCACGCCTTGTCCAAGCTCGCGCATCCGTTGAAGATCCGCCCCGTTCTCTCGCCACCGAAGTCGATGAAGAAGGGTTCTCTTGCGCTGTCGTCGGCATCGTCCAGCGCGAGTCACTCTTCGGCCAGATCGCCTCACACCTCTTCCGAATCGCTGCCGTACGCGGTGGCATACCGCATAGGCAGACATAATCGGTCGCCGCCGGAAAATAAATTATTATAGTCAATGAAAAGATAAAAACATATTTAAATAGACAGATAGTTATTATTTAAAATGTTATAAATTAAAGAGGGTTAAATAGCAAATATTAAAAAATTCTTAAAAAATAAAAGTTCTGATAAAATTAACACATGTCATCGATTATGTAGTCCTAGTAACGAAGGATTTTGGCACCCCTTAAATAAAACTTGCACAAAAAAAATGCCTTTTATGTACCGCTCAACTCAGGTGGACCAAGTTGAACTCGCTGGTCATACCGAATCGAGCTCACCATGTTGAATCTAGAATATCACTTTGATATTAGTCAAAGAATAATCCCCACACCATATCTTCAGGAATCATGGAACACATTAAAAGCAACACATCAAGAGTAACATTCTCACCATTAAACACCACATGCAATCATAAGAATGTATCCACGAGACGAATTCTACCTTTTTGAGGAATATTTGTTTAAAAAAAGAAAACTTCGTATACTTCAAAGATCTATTAGAAAACTTTGCAAGTTATGCCAATGTAATATCAGTTTCAAGTTTTAAAAGTGTCTCTACCTTCATTCAAAACTCCAATTTCATCTTCCCTCTCGACCAAGTCTCTTTTATGCCTCCTTCCTCACCCCGCAACACTACACTACCACACTAAACCACCCACCTCTAATAACGTGGCTCGTTGAGATCTTCACATGGGAGTTACTACTTAAACATCATCCTTAGCTCTACTACTATTCCCACGCATGAAGGTTTATAACATATTCATTCCAATAGATTACATATTAATACTAAGAGAAGAAAATGATATCAAATATATGAAATGTAATAATTTGTGATATAAAGTTATAATAATTTACGTATTAAAAGCAGTAAATATAATATTTTATTATAAAAATTTATAATAAATTGCATTTAAATTTTTTAAGTATATAATTTTGGTATTAAACTTTTTCTATAGAGACGTAAATGTTTTCATATTATAATTTTTCAATCATAAATAAAATATTTCAATAAAAAGTTATAGTTAAAGAATTAATAGTTATTATAATAACTTAAAAAATACTAAAAAATAAATAAATTAAATTACTTTCTCATTGTCGTAGGCCCCCTACTCCAAATTAGAATAATTGAGTAATATATTTTTATTATTTTATTATAATTAATTTGTTATTACATAAAATCATATAATTATTTAAAATTTATATATATACACAGATAAATATTATCATAAAATTATTAATTTGAAAATTTTATTATACTTTAAAATTTATTTTACATTTATTTTGAATTTCAATAAAAAATAATGGTATCAAAATGAATATAAAGATTATTTCCTATAAAAAATAGTATGATTTGTATATAAAAAAAAATTAACAAAAATGATAGTGATAAGATTGTAAAAACATCATGTTAATTTGATTCTTCCAAAAAAAAGTATTTTATAGTTTTAATTATTTTGTATAAACATTAAATTATTTTATTTTTTTATCTACATCATATTAGAAAATATTTTAAAATATAATATAATTGAGTTTGATCAAATAAGGAAGCTGAAGAAACTAAAATCATTGTTTGATTATATTAAGTAATGTAAATGTCAATTATATTAGATAACAACATTAAAAGAACATTAAATAAATTAAAATAGTAGTTGTAACATATATGAAGTATTAAATTATAGAAAGCGAACATAATCAAAGGTAAATTTTATTATCCTCCCCTAAGAAATAAGAGTATTACATTTCTCTCTTCTAGGATGTTAAAATATATAATTGAGTTAACTTAACTTAATGTAAATTACATTCCCCTTCCCTAAGAGATGCAAGTATTATAATATTTGTAATAGCTTTACTGGGTCGTGGGCCCAATTCGTTGCCCGAAACGGTCCGTTTCAAAAGTGAAACGAGCCGTTCCAGAATAAAGAATTTGCCTAAAAAATGTAGTTGAGAACGGGCTGTTCCGGTTGGAGAACGGGCCGTTCTAGAAGTGGCACGGGCCGTTCTGCTGGGATTGAGAACGGGCCGTTCCGGTTTTGGAACGGGCCGTTCCAGTTAAGAATTTTGCGTAATTTCGAAGAGCCCAGAACGGCCGTTCCACTTTTGGAACGGGCCGTTCCGGTAGGTGAGCCTGAAATCCTATAAATAGTGCCTCTCACCTCTCATTTTCACACATCTCTCATTCTCTCTTCCTATTATTTTTTGTTCTCTCTTCTTTCCCTCTTCTTCTCTCCGAAGACCAAGGGGCATTTACAGGAGGAGACCAAGAGATTCCTGTTTTAGTTCAACTACTGTACATGGTTATTTATTGGTATACAAGAATTATAAATAAAATAGATAAAATATAAATAAAGAAATAAAATAATAAAAAGAATAATAAATGAAATAATAAACAAAAATAAATAAAATAATTAAAATAATAAACAAAAGGAAGAATTTAGAACCTCTAAAGCAAGCCTTTTATTAGGGAATCTTCCCAAATGCATGCAGACGCGTTTTCGTAGCCTTTCACTCTACAAAAGCCACAATATCACTCAAAGGTTTAGACAAAGAGGGGGGAAGCTATGCATCTCTTTTGTTCCTTCCAAATCCCTTGGCCAGAGGGTTTCTTATATAGCCAATTAGGAGACAGAAACATAAGAGAGCTATTCGATGTGAGACTAAATTTTATAAAAATACAATCTTTTCCTATGCACCATGCAAGACCTCTAAAGAACTCGTTAACCGTTTGATTGTGTTGGTTTTTTTATGGTATCCTCAAAATATATTGATCTTGTATTTCAACGGTTTGATTGTTGAAATTAGTTTTGTAGTGAGAGATAGTATCATAACAAAAATGCCATCTGTTACAGGATTCATATTTTCCAGCTGCAATTCGAGGCCTCTACAGAAATCATTAACCATTGGATCATGCTAAAAATTTGATGATATATTTTATCTTTAACTTCAACGGTTAGATCATGAAAATAAGGTCTTTAGAGAGAGATATTATCAGAAACAAAACTTTGCTCAACGTAAATTTTTAGGAAAGGGGAACGGGCCGTTCCGGTTTCAGAACGAGTCGTTCCAGCATTGGGAACGACCCGTTCCAATTTGGGAACGGCCTTTCCGCACCCCATATTATTTTTCTTGAGTTTTTTTGGGCCTTTCAAAGCCATCTTGACCCATTTAGGTGCTCTATTGGGTCTTTAGGAGTCGTACGTACTGCTTTTTCCAGATGTAGTGCGAGGCTACTAGAGAACTCGTTAACCGTTGGATCATGTTGTAATTTTGATAATATCTTCTCAATACATTGATATTTAATCTCAACGGTTGGATCGTTAAAATTAGTTCTGTAACGAGAGATGTTATCATAACAAAATTGCTACCCAATGCATTGGTCCCCTCGAGGGTTGTTTGTCTCGCTCTAGTAGACCTTTATCCTTGGTTTGGGTACCCGGATGAAATTTGGGGTCTAAAATCATCTCGCAAGAAAAAATGAGCCATTAAAACAAGAGCACTACCTACAAGCTATCTTCGTCTTCATCAGACGTTCTCGCCAAAGAA